GAAGTAAGCCCATCAGAACTTGAACCCGAAAGCTTCGAAATTCAATTAGAAAAAGCAATTAAAGGCATTTCAACAAATGAGGAGGCAAGTGTAGTGGCACTGTCAAAATCTATAGTAAAGAAAGAGTTCTTACTTTTTGAACAGACTGGGAAGAGGTCACCAAATTTAGAATCGATGTACAAAGCATTGCTTTCAGTTAAGCCTACTTCAACTGAAAATGAAAGAGTGTTTTCTATTTCAGGAAATATAGTTAATAAAATAAGAAATCGGCTGTCTGATAAAGCTATAAATGCATTAGTTTTTCTAAAGGCATATTTCATCAGACAGAGTAAGCTGACCTAAGTGTTATGTATTTGTCTGTCTGTTGTTCAGCTCCTCAGCGTGAGATGTTCCATTGATCTTGCAAAGTTTTCATTTGTTTTTATTGTGATTAACATGCCATAAATGGTGCTGTGATTGTAATTTAATTATAATTTACATTTATTTTCTACCTGAATTTTAGATATTAACGTTTTCTTTCATGTTACTTTTTTTTTTGTTTTATAGAAGCTATTTTTGTTCACCAGTTTTAAGTTGATTGTTTTTCTAAATATGGTGCTGTCATCATAATTATGAGTCTGAATAATATTATTTCTGTTTTGTTTTTAAAAAGTTAATTAGCTTATTCAGAAGATTAATGTTTTTGAATATAATCAATAAAAGTTTTATAATTAATTTGATACTTTTATTTGAGAGGAAAACCACTAAATTTGTTGTTGAGAAAACGTACGTAAATGTAAATTTCTCGGCAACCCGAGAAGCCTCGAGAATTCTCGAGACCCGAGAAATTAAAAAGCTCGAGAAAACATGAACCCTAGTAGGGAACCAGTTAGAAGATAGTAGGTACCGTTGTAAAATGACTCAAGATAAGAAATGCTAGAAAAGGAATTAAGTCCCAAACCACCGAAGAAACCCATCATTAAATATCAATTAGGAGGGTACGAGAAATATAGAGTGTAACTGTTAGCATGCTAAATTAATTTTTAAAGAGATTATATGAAAGTACAGCAACAAAATTATTTGAATAGAAGACAATAGAATTTATAGGTATAAAGAATTTAATAAAAATGTTTTAAAAGATATTTAGATAGTGACAATAAGTAATAGAATAGTATTAAGAATCGAAATATTTGAAGAGACATCATGAAAACAGAAATTGAAAAGAGATATTGCAATATTTACAGAAAAATAAAAGAATAATATTTGAAAAGTAAAACGCAATAAAAATACAATCAGAAAAAATCAAACGAAAGATTATAGCAAGTAATGTCGCCACATTACTAATTTATCGATAATCGATAACTAAAATCGTACTTGAATTGAGAGATCATTGACCATCAGAAAAATACTCATTAAAGACATTTATGAAAATAATTACATTCTAGATTCAATATTTTTAACCCAAGCATCTCTCACAGTCTTTCACAGTCTCTCAGTTATTGCCTACGTGTTTTTATGGATCTCTCACAGTCTCTGTATGAGAGACTCGAACGATAAAATTATTAATTCAGAGATTCGAGTCTCTCACAGAGAGCTTACAATAAAACTACAATTAGAAAAAATCAAACAAAAGATTATAGCAAGTAAAGTCGTCACATTATCACATTATCAATTTATCGATAATCTATAACTAAAATCGTTTATCACCCAAAACCAGGCAGAAGTATTTCCCACTTGGGGCCATCGAAGTACCATTTGTAACGGGATGCTTCAGCCGTTTAATTGGTCGCTCCGTATTCTTTTTTAATATAAAATATGGTAAACCATACGTGACCTATATTGGCGGTGATATATGCATACATATTGGATAATTTACGACACTTGTTCGAATATTGTTTTCATAAGTATATATTTATTTTCATATTTAATTTACTATTTAAAACATTAGCTATTACCTTGGCAGTAAATTTCTATGAAGAATAGAATTACATTCAGTGGGTTTATCTTCTACTTATGTACATTCTACATATTCTGTTTCCAAACCATCATTAAACAAAATAAATTGTAAGATTACCAAATCGACCGTACGTAAGTGGCTACGTACATTACATAATTAAACACCAAAATGCCACAAATTTCGCTTTCTGTTGACATATATTACTAAACGAAAGAACTCGATATTTCCGCAATGGTAACAATTTACGCCTCCAGAGCGGGCGGCCACTTTCCTTGTACGAATTTCGCCAAGGTCGGTCAAGGATAACAGCAACGACGTCACTTCTTGTAAAAGAACTGCACTATAAAATCTCTGAGATATTTTCAATCTTCATCAGTTTCGTTTTTGCTCTAATCAAAGCAACACAGACCTACTTCGTTCAAAATGTTCAAGCTGGTGGTGTTGTCTGTATTTTTGGCCGTGGCTGCTGCTCGTCCTGGTTTTCTTCACGGAGAGGTTGCCGTTGCAGCTCCTGCTGTATCTATTCCCTCTGCAGTGAGTCATCAATCCAGGACCGACATAATTAGCAGCCCTGTCGTTGCCACATACGCTGCTCCAGTTCACGCTGCACCCGCCGTTGCCGTTGAGGCTTACGCTGCTCCAGCCCATTTTGCTTATGCTGCCCCGGCTCCTATTGCCCTTCCATCTGCCGTAAGCTCTCAATACAGGTATGACGTTCACAACAAACCACTGGTTGCTGCCTATGCTGCTCACACTTTGGCATATTCTGCTCCTCTGCCGTGGTAAGGCCATCATAACAGTAAAAATGACTGAAAATCGCTGTATCTATATTAAATAAAAAATATAACAAATTCCTTTGAATTTTCATTTTAGACATCTTTTTCTGTGATACATAATCTCGCAGAGTTGAGTACTTAAATAAAAAAAAAACTAAACATATTCTGGTATATATTCTTAGATTTATTAGCAAAATAAGAGGTCTATTCAAAAAGTATTGCGAATGTTGTGTTTCTTCAAAATGTATTTATTTTATCATGAATATCTATTTTGTTACCTTCAAAGTAATCCCTACCAGATATTATACACTTGTGCCAACGTTTTTTTCCAATCCTCGAGGCACTTCAAAAAATAACTTTTTGTAATCTTGTTCAGCTCCTCCTTCGATGCCGTTTTTATCTTCTCAATCGCACCGTAGCGCCGCCCTTTCATGGGCCTCTTCAGTTTCGAGAACAAGAAAAAGTCACAGGGGGCCAGATCTGGGGAATACGGTGACTGCGGCATTATTAGTGTGTTGCTTTTTGCCAAAAATTCGCGCACAAACAACGATGTGTGAACAGGGGCATTATTATGGTGCAAAAGCCAATTTTTGTTCTTCCACAAATCCGGGCGTTTCAGGCAGATTGCTTTCTCGCAAATTGCACATAACTTGCAGGTAATATTCTTTATTAACCGTTTTACCCTATGGCAAGAACTCATGATGCACCACGCCCGTGCAATCGAAGAAACCCCGTATGCAAAACCTTCACATTCGACGTAACTTGAAGCGCTTTTTTTGGTTTTCATTGGGATGATTGAGCTTTGGTTTTCTCGTCATAACCATAAACCCCTGATTCGTCACCAGTCATGACCCTCTGGAGCAAATTTAGGTTATCGCGACAGAATCCAACAGCTCCTCAGCAATGTCAACGCGATGCACTTTTTGGTAGAAATTAAGCAACTTTGGTACGAATTTCACGGCGACAAGTCTCATGACCAAATCATTTGTAAAAATCGAATGGCAGGAGTCAATCAATATGCTTAGGTCCTCAGCAACTTGTCTAACAGTGGTTCGACGATTGACCAATACTAT